AACCACAGACATGACTTGCTGGGTGGAAGCAGGGCGAATGAGAGAGGCCAGAGGAGCTGATGCTCACAGCTAGTGCTCCTGCTTAGCGAGGAAAGTCCTCTCTTGTTGGAGAAGCCACTCGGCATTCCCTCTCCTTGGTGCAGGGGCGTGGGCCCTGGGACTTGCCCTGAGCAGGGCAGAGTCTTTGCTGCTGCAGGCAGAGGGTAAGCCTGAACGCTCCATGCACAACCTCAGAGCATGTGCAGCCTGACCAGGAAGGTGGGGCCAGCAGCTGGGCTCCTGGCCTGCTCCAGGGTCAAGGGGATCTCAGAAACTTCATCCATCTGGCTGGAAGGAAGGTCCTGCAATCTTAACCTTCAAAGTAAGAACCAATATAGGAGACAGATTCAGAACTCTGTTGAGCACTCAATTCAAAGTAACCCACAGATTCGTTGACTTTTTTATCCCATTTATGGTTCCATGAAATTTAACTCATTGGCTTAATTCATTCTTTTCTTAAAAGAAACAAGATGGTTTGCTCCATTCCTTGATCTATTCATTCCTTTAAGTAGCATATTGATTTCCTTCCATTCTTTCTTCTGCTAATTAATTAATTAAAAATATTAATTGAGCATCCACTGTGTTGCGGTGCATTCTATTCTAGGTGCTGGACCCAGCAGTGAATGTGACTAGCAGGCTGGGCTAGGGTTTCAGGAGGAAACAGAATCCACCCTAGATGGTTTGAGTGTAGGGAGGACTTACAGAGGGGTGGGCAGGTGTAAAGGAAGAAACGCGGGATGGCCAGGCTCCCTGTGACAGCAAGGAGCCATTACCGCTAGCACTGAGGGCAAGGGAAGGAAGTAGTGTCTGGGGAGCCCATGGAGGGCTGGAGCCATGGAGGAGGGCTGCGCGGAGGGAGCGGTAGTTGGGGAGGACGCAACTGTTGCCAGAGCTGCTGAGTTAGAGCAGGGAGGTGGCAGGGAAGAAACATCCCCGCCTCTTTCTCTTTCTACCCCCTGATCTCCTACTGGTGCCTTTCTTGGGCCGACAGCCAGTTGCAAGGGAGTCAGCCGATGCTGTCCTTCAGGGCCAGCCTCCCGGGGCAAGAGCCAGGCAGAGAAGGTGGGGACTGGAGCTGGGGAGGCAGAGAGAGTGACGGGCACAAAAACCAAATCCCAGCTCTCCTGGCTACATATTCTAGTTGGAGGACACAGATAACAAACAGGTAAATATTCATCAGGTGGTGATTGGTGCCATTCTGGAAGTAGATCAGGGTGGGATAGATGGAGGTTACAGGGTTTGATTAGTGATGGAGTTGCATTTTATATCTGTGGAGTGGGGGATGAGAAGGGACAGCCGTCAGAAGGCTGTGGCCATCTCCCAGGTGAGAGATGACGTGGTCTGCCCCAGATATAACTGACCGCAGAACTGATGAGACTTGTGACAATTTGGACAGGCACTAGGAGGGCATCCAGAGGAAGGAAGGAGTCTCTGCTGTTTGGCAGGGAGGAGAGCCTGGAATAGGGGGAGACCTGAGGAAAGACAGGATTTGGGCAGGGATGTTGGAAGTTCAGTTTGGGATCTGCTATGATTGAGAAGCTTCTTAGCCAAGTGAGGGCACTGACCCAGTGGGTGGACATGTGAGTCTGTATCTCTGGGAAAGGTTCAAGCCTGAGAGAGAGGTTTGGGAGTGTCAGCAGCATAGCGATGGTTTTCAGGCTCTGTGTCTGGGTGAGGTCACCCAAGGAGAGAGGGTGCACAACAGAGACGAGGGCTTTGGGCTGAGTCCTGGGACGCTCCACCTTGGAGGTCTGGTAGGTGAGGGTGAGCAGCTGAGCCGACTAAGAAGGAGTGGCCGGAGAGGCTGAGGGAAAACCGGGCCAGTATGTTGGCTGGAAGATGGGAAAAGGAAGTTTCTAGAAGGACCCAGAAGGAAGAGGAGTGGTCAGCTTCATTAAAGCTGCTGGGAGGTTATAGGGCATTGACTATTGACTTTGGATCATTGATGTCCTCAATAAGAGCAACTTGAGCCGTGTGGTGGGTCAAAAACCCTATCGGCTCGAGTTGAGGAAAGAATGGAAGGTGCAACGTAGAGACAGTGAATTCTCTTTGGGAGAGTTTTGCTGTAACAAAGAGCAAAGAAATGAGATGATAACAGAGGTCACGGGGTCAAAGGAAGTTGATTTTTTAATTGAGATGAAATTTGCTTGACATAAAATTAACCATTTTAAAGTGAACAATTCAGCGGCATTTAGTATATTCACAGTGTTGTGCAACCATCATCTCTGTCTAGTTCCGAAGCATTTTCATCACCCCAAAAGCAAATGTCTTATCCATTAAATAGTTGCTCCCCATTCACCCCCTCCCCCAGCCGGGATAACCGCTAATCTTTCTGCCTCTATGGATTTGCCTGTTTGGACACTTCACTTAAATGGAATCATACAACACGTAACCTTTTATGTCTGGGTTTTTTCACTTAGCATAATGGTTTTGGGGTTCTTCCACATTGTAACATTTATCACCACTTCATTCCTTTTTATGGCTGAATAATATTCCATCGTACCGATAGACCACAATTGCTTATCCAGTTATCGGTTGATGGCCATTTGGACTCTTTCCACCTTTTAGCTATTGTGAATAGCACTGCTGTGAGCATTCATGTACCGGTTTTTGTTTGAACACCTGTTTTCCATTCTCTTGGGTATGTTCCTCGGAATAGAATTGCAGGGTCATATGGTAATTCTATATATACTTTTTGAGAAACCACCAACTATTTTCCACAGTGGCTAAACCAGTTTACATTCCCACGGGCAATGTATGAGGGCTCCAATTTCTCCACATCCTTGCCAACATTTCTTAGTTTTGTTTTTTAATTGGTGATATTAAGACATTTTTGTATATAGCCTGGAATGATCTAATAGAGTGGGAGAAATTGAGGATGCTGAAGAGAAATGGGATAATTGCTGGAGGGAAATCCTTGAGAAGATGAGAAGGATGTGCCCACAAGACCCACAAACTGAGGAGATCCTCTAAAGTGAGAGGTCTGTTTGGATGCCGGACAAGAAAAAAGAGAAATGTATCTGATGTCGAGGCCCTGAGGCTCACTCTGATGGCGAGGGGCTTTCCTACAGAGCAATGTAAACGGGTCAGGGCAGGCAGAGTGGGTGGTCTCGCTTAAAACCTGTATTCTCATCCACAAGCTGTGGTGCTTTGGGCAAGTGGGGTGACCTCTGAAACCCCAGTTTGCTCAGCTGTAAAATAGAGACAAGAAAACTTCAGTGGCTGCTCTTGGCATTAAGTGAGGCTATGTGTAACCAGTGCCTGGTACACAGTAGGTGCTTACTGGATGCAGGTCCCTTACATTGGCTCATCCTTCTGACTAGATTGTGAATTGCTGGGTGGAAGTAACAGGTGTACCCTTTTTTGCAGCCTTCTCAGTATCTAGCATTGTGTTGGCTACATTGTAGGAGCTCCATAAACATTTGATAAAGAATAAATAAACAAGAATGAAAATAATGATCAATAAAGAGATTTCCCAACGATAACAGCAACAGCAAATATTTAGTGGGTGCTTGCTACGTGGTAGGCAATACCAAGGGCAGAGTCTCATTTGATCTGTGCAATGTGACCTTGAGATGAGCACTCCCTTATCCCCACTTTGCAGAGGGGTGACTTGTCTAGTGGGACATGGCTGGGGAGCAGCAGCTGGGATCTGAGGTCTAACATCAAATCCATCATATTAGACCATCTATCTAGATGCTGCCAAGTCAGTGATTGAATAATCCTGGTAGCAGAGAAAGATCTATTGCCGCTAAAAAGATGTCAAGAGAGAGGTTGGGTGACTGCTTGGGGAAAGGAGGGTCTGGGTAACAGCTGGATAATTGTGGAAGATTTGAAAAGCCTGGAAAGTAAGCCCGTCGCTCAGAGACAGCCTCTGTCTTGGTGTGTTTGCTTTTCCTTAAGCACAGCTAAAATCACCCTGGCACAGAAATGCCATCCTTCTAGCGTGCAGCTTGTGTCAGATGTCGGAGGTTGGTTGATAAAGACACCTCAGTAGATGTCTGCCAGGGATCAGGTGATTTCTTTCTGCTCTCCAGGCTGCCCCTTTGTCAACATCGAGGCACTAGGGAAATGGAATTAGCCATGAGAAGGATGCCTGGTTGCTCTGTATCGATGCCAAGGGAATTGGATGGGCTTCTCCAGTTTGCCAAGAAGTGCTGTCTCTCAGGCCCTGAGCCACAGCATCCCTTTCCCTTGGTGGGTGGGACTCCTGGGCGCCCATCTTTCTGTACTACACCCCAGAACCACCCTTCACTTCCCACGCCCTCACCTCTCTCTGTGAACTGGTCAGGGGGAGGTTTTTGGTGCCCTGGGCTGAGCTTGGATCTTGCCCCGGGCTGCCCAGCTGCGCTCTCGGGTCCCTCATCTCTTTCCCTCACATCTCTCTGCCACACCAGCCCTCTGTTTATCTCAGGGTCCTGAGGAGAGAGTAGGATTAGCACGTGCACATCAGTCTCGAGGTAGAGAGAGGTCAGGAGGACTACATGGCCTTCACAAAATACCAACAAAGGCGATCACCATGGGTGCAGCATTTCACAGTTGACGGCTCTCCTGTATTTCTCCACGGGCCGATTTTGTTCCTCCGTCGACAGAGTACAAGAGGCAAGAGTTAACCCCTCATCCTTCTCCTCTGGGCTTAGGACTTGATCAGCCTGCATTTGTTTGTGTCCTGCATCACAATTCCGGTGTGTCACGTCACCTGACCCTCCCCACAGCCCGGGCGGGTGGGTCCATCCTCATGTTAGCGAGAAGGGAGTGGACACCCAGGAAGGTTAATCTGTTACTCAGCAGTGGCTTCGCCAGGACACCTCTGCTTTCGACTCCTTGTCCGGAACCTGTTGCCCCACACCTGGGCCTGTTTTTAATACACTGAGATAGCCATCAATAATTCATCGTTAATCATTTATCGCTTGTCACAGAATGTTTACAGAAACAACCGGATGCCATGTAACCATTAATGCTGTTTTCTTTCACAATTTCCTAGGTTTCTATCTGATTATATCAAGAGCTGATCTATCCATGAAGCATATTCAGTCTGCTCTAACAGGGGAGGGAAGCTCCAGGAAAGAGGTAAGTTATGCTCACAGACTTGGCTTTGGGGATGATTTCAAGAATTACTGAGACTCTTACAGAACAACTGGAACAAGGGATTTGAAAATTGAGGGATTTAAAAATCAACTTGGTGAAGATTAAGTGAGAAAATGCACATAAAGTGCTTAGTGTGGTGTCTGACAGATGTTAATGTAAAAATGAAATTGATTATGAGTGATTATGGCTGTGGTTATTATTCCAAAGGCTGGTAATCTGGTAAATGTCCTCATTCCTCTCTCCCCTTCCTTCCTTCCTTTCTTTTAAAGCTGCTCTATTTTCTACATTCCTTTTCAATATCTTGTTTCAGGGTTAGCTTTAGCTACATGCCAAAGTCTGCAGAGAATTTACCCTGAAAATTAAGAAGAAAGTCACAGAGCCAGCCCTGATGCCTTAGTGGTTAAAATTTGGTGCACTCCGCTTCAGTGGCCTAGGTTCAGTTCCCGGTGTGGAACCACACCATTCGTCTGGCAGTTGCCATACTGTGGTGGCAGCTCACACAGAAGAACTAGAAGGACTTACAACTAGAATATACAACTATACACTGGGAATTTGGGGAGGAAAAAAAATGGGAAGATTGGCAACAGATGTTAGCTCAGGGCGAATCTTTCCCAGCAAAAAAAAGAAAAAAAGAAGAAGAAGAAAGTCACAACCAAGAGTTAAGCAGACCAAGAACTTGGGGACCAAGGAGTCTGTGGTGTTCCCTGTCCCGAGCAGTCAGCCAGAGGCTGTTGGAACCCCTGGGCCTTGCTCAGCAGAGTGGACAGAGCCCAAGGCAGTGACTCCGGGCACTTCCAGGAAGGGGCCTCCAGCTTGCTCGAGCCTGGTTGGGGAGAGCAAGTCCACCTTGGCTGTCGGCTGCCCTTCTGTGGTGCACTGATCCATGTCGGGGCCTTGTCTTTGCTTTTGTCCTTCCGCTTAACACATGCTTATGAGTGAGGGTCTGACTTCAAGCTTCTGGGCCCAGAACGGACCTCTGTGGCAGGTTGGTGGGTAAAGATTCTTCTCTGAACCCTGCTTGCTTTATTTCTAACATGGCTGGCAGCTTAGGGCTGGGATTTGAACCCATGGCTCCCTGCTGCCTGGGGTGCAAGCTCTCTGCACTTGGCCTTGCACTGCGGCCTCTGACCTGTGATGTGGCATCTCAAGGATGATGAGGTTGGTCTCAGCTCTGTGCTGGTCTCTGTAGAGTGAGGTGCACAGTCTCAGACTCTGCTGCAGACAGCTCCCCTGGGCAGCGGGTTCTTATTGACTTAGCAATCCTCATCCTTCTCCTTGCTGGCCAGGGAGTAGAAGATCAGAGTTGGCTGTGGCTCTGGAGAAAGCACAGCCACCACCCACACATCATCCTGGTGCCAGCAATGTTCCTCTTTGGCAGCCTGTTTTCTGGAAGGAGTGCATGAGTCTCTCCCCGTCCTCGGCCTAGGGCACACCTCACCTCTCAACACAGAGGATTTATTCAGCCTGTCGTTTGGATCTGCTGAGCACACTGTTCACCCCACCCCATGCCCGTGTTCCCCACCTTGATTATCATGTGGAAATATTTAACACACGCTATGATTTCTTCATGTCCACTCCTTGCCTTCTCTTCTCCTCCCACCCATTTCTTTGCTCGAAGCTTCATCCACATTCGTGACTGTTCACCTGCTCTGACCTTGATTTTTAGGTGGTTCCAGCTTGGATGGGTGATGTACATCCTAACAAAAGCCACCCTTTGACCACAGCTTGAATCACGTCTTCTCTCAGTGGTTCTCCAATCTAAGCCCCCAATGGAAGCTTGACGTTCTCCTTTAACTGCCTTGTCATGCCTGTCCCTCACCCTCTGTCCCTCCCTCATGAACACCCAAAGCTAGTGAGAGCCACCATCTTCCTTCTTCAGTACTGAGCCATGAATGGACCTTCTACAGCATCCTGCTACCTGACCAGGCTTGGTTTTAAGGCTGCTCCCCAGATGTCCCTAGTGACTATTTCACAGTGTTGCAAACCTGCCCCACGCCTCCCTCCTTCTTCCCCTTCAGTTGATTGCTTGGCCTTGTGCTTCACTGGGGATAGAGATGCCATTCAACAGAAGTCCTCATTTCTCCAATTCCAAGTCTCCAGTCCTAGCCATCCTTTTACCTACTTTCCATCCTCTGATCCACACCTCACTGCCTGCCCACTTCTCTGCTCCACCTCTCGGCCAGCATTCTGGAAAGACTTGTCTCCCCTTCCAGATGTTCCAGGCTCTCCCCAACCACTCCACTTAAATCACTCTCATTACACTTACCAATGGCCTTCATGTGGCCACATGCAGTGGACGCTCTTCATTCCTCTTACTTGATGTCTGAGCCGTATTCAACACAGCTGACCACTCATCCCCTCTGAAAATTCTTGTCTGGCCTTTGCTAACACCTCACTCTCCCTGTTTTCTCCAACTCGGTCTCCTTTGCCATTTTCCACCTGCTGTCTGCTCTTTCCACATTGGGGTTTCTTAGGAGTCTTCTCCTCTACACTCTCTCCCTGGGCGGTCTTACCTAACCCATGGTGTTATTACCCTTAATTTATCTCGAGCCCAGACCGCTTCTCAAGCACCACTCTTGTTTCCAACTGCCCAAGTGGTATTTGCACTAGGATGTCACACAAACATCTCAAGCTCCACACTTCCTAAACAGAACTCTTCATTTCCTCCTGTCCCCAAATCTGTTACCTTCTGAGCCTTCTCCAGCTCAGTGAATGATGGTTGCCATTAATTACACACCAGGGATTTGCCAGGCATCTCCCAAGGCCTTTTATATACATTATCCCTTATCTAACAATCACGATATGAGAGAGTGATAACCATCATCAACTGACTGATAAGGAAACAGACCCAGAAGTTAAGTAACTTGTGCTTGGTCACAATGGCAAAGCCAGGGTTGGGACCCAAGTTTCTGACTCCAGTAGCCTTGCTCTTTCCTCTCTTCTCATGTCTTTTTAAATCCTGCCTCTTGCCTGATCATTTGGAGCCCATCTTCATCCTTAGGTATCTGCAGGGCCACCATGTTGCATAACTCCGGGGGAACATTTACAGTGTCATCTGTGTGAATGACGCTCCCTGGAGTGGTATGGTGACAGCCATTCATATAAACTAGAATGGGAATGCAGCCTGTGGAGGTGGGCCGGTGGTGGCCATGGATAACGTCATTCTGGCTGGCTCTGTCCCATCCCATCCCATCCAGTCCCATTCTGACTCCTCTCTTTCTGGCCCCCCCATTCTGTTTTCTGTACACCTCTCGGGCCAGGCACTCTGTCAGACTCTGTGCACACAGAGATGGATCAGCTATGGCCCCCGAGTGTGAGGAATACATTGGTCAGAGTTCTCCAGAGGAACAGAATCAATAGGATGTATGCCTGTATATTAGCTATGTATAGATATAGATATAGGTGTACATATAGATAGAAAGTGAGAGAGACAGAGAGAGAAATTTTAAGGAATTGGCTCATGAGATTGTGGGGGCTGGCAAGCCCAAAACCCATATGGCGAGCCAGTGGGCTAGAAATTCTGGTAAAAGTTGATGTTGCAGTCTTGGTCTGAAGTCTGGAAACTCAGGCAGAATTTCTAGTTGTCCTCTTGAGGCAAAATTCCTTCTTCTTCAAGGTACCTCAGTCTTTGCGCTTAAGGCGTTCAAATGAATGAATGAGGCCCACCCACATTATGGAGGGTCATTGCTTTCCTTAAAGCCAGCTTTAAGCCAGATTGTAAATGTTAATTGTATCTAAAAAATACCAGCAACATCTAGCCTGTTCTCTAGGTGTTCAACCAAACAACTGGGCACCATGGCCTTGCTAAGTCGACACATAAAATGATCCATCAGGAGGAGGTCTCGGTCACTGGCGAGGACACAGACAAGAGAACAGTCAGCCTGTACAATTTTCTTCCTGCTAGGCTAATGGGACTTGCTAAGGTACATGCACAGGAGGATGTGATTCAGATTTTCCAGAAGGAACAGACAGACGAGCAGAGGATGTGGGCCTGGAAGGTGAGAGAAGGGAAGGAGGAAAGCATTATAGGTTAAGGGGGCAGCCCAAGAAACAGCAAGAGAGGCCTGAAAACGAAGGTCCAGTGGGCTGGAGTGTCCCTGGGTGTGTGCTGGGACGAGACACAGGTGGCACCTTGCTTCCTCTTAACCTAGATACTAGGAGCTTAATAAATAATTGTTGAATAAATAATTTAGTGTATAAATACTTTAAATTTAAAAAACACATGGGCATAGTTTAAGTACAAAAATTGTATAATAGTGTGACTCTATAAGTACATCTATTTTTAATGCTGACTAATATATACTTTTTAATATGTCTTCCTCTTTTTGTCAAGTAAGAATATGTTATAAGCATTTCCCATGACATTAAATGTTCCCCTTTAAGACTTTAAGCACTACATGAGTTTCCATCATTTGGATATCGTAATTTATTTACACTTTCCTGTTAGATATTTTTTACTATTGCGAATACTATTTTTCTAACATGAAAAACACTGTAATGACAATCTTTGGCTTAAATCTTTGTGCACGTTTTTGTTACTGCTTTAGGCTAACTTTTATAAATGGAGTAGTTGGGCCAAAGGGCCTAAATATTTTTATGGCTCTAGAAACATATTTCCAAACTCCAGAAGAGCTGTACAGTTTTCTCCTTCTGTCATGCCAGTGATTCCGGTTACAATTTTGGTAATTGTTTCCAATTTGACTGGGGAGATGAGCGCTTCATTTTAATTTGCACTGCTTTTATTTTCACATCTTGGGGACAGAAAGTCTAGTGTTTCTATGAAGGTCCATCAGAAGGACCTTCTGATAAGAATGTTCTGGAAAGGGGCCTGTATTTAATAAGCAGGGCAGCAAGTGTGGGAAACAGATCTAATCCAACCCAACCACCTCGTGAATGGAGAAACAGAGGCCAGAGAAGAGGAAGGAGGTGCCCAGGTCTCCAAGGGGAGCTGGGGTCGCCCATCCTGATGTCCTCATCAGGGCCCCTCACCTGTTCTGGGCCACCTCCCCTGAGTTACCCATCTGCGACAGCAAGTATCTAATGGCTTCTTCCTTTTTTCTCAGGAACAAAGAAGCCCAGCCCAAAATCTGAAAAATAAACCATGAAGCTCAGTGAGAGAGACTCAGCAGATGACAAAGAAGGCGATTTGGTGAAAAAGAAATTGGTCAGTTGGTTTCCTTGTCTCTCGCTTACACCACAGGGGTGGTCCCTCCTCGCTGTCCACCTTCCTCCCGGGGGAAGTGGGGGTGAGGGTGAGGTCAGGCAGAGAAGAGTGAGCAGAGGCTGGAAGCAAAGTTGTGTGGGAAGGAGCCGTGTGAATCGGAGCTGTGTGTGCGGTGAGGTGCAGGCCACTGATGGCCTTGTACTTTGTGGATGATAAGACTATCCGCTGGTGACCTTCTGGATTGGGGGGGTGGTTGTCTGCATACCAAAAGTCATTCTCAAGGAGGGGACATTGATGTTGAAGGCGATGATGTCATCGTCCTTAAGGATCCGCTGAAACCCATCCTCCACCCCACCACAAGGCCCAGTCCACCTGCCCCCTCCTCCAGGAAGTTCTCAGCACTGAGAAAGGATCTCTCCCTCCTTGGGACTCCTTGAACCCTCTCTTTAAACCAAATTCAAAAACCAGTAGCCAGACAGTGCTGGCTCTGTGCCAGACCTTTACACAGGTCTCCCATTCTGTTCTCTGGGCCACACCACAGTGAAGGCATCGCTACCTCCATTTTACAGGCAGGGAACTGAGGCTCAAAGAAGGCTTGAAGCCACTCATCCAAGGCTACATAGCTGGTTTGAAGTGCAGCTGGTCTGGAACTACGGCCCATCTGTGCCTTGTCTCCTGTGATGGATGTAGAAGCAACCAGGACTCAGAAGAAAATACGTCCATATTTGTAATAAACCTTTATTTACCAGAACAAAGATCAACTCAAGTGTGTTTACCAAATTGCCAGGGAAGTCTGAAACTGGGAGGCTGAGCATCATTATCCACATGTCACAGGTGGAAATGGAGTTTCAGGGAGGCCAAGTCCCCTGCCTCAGGTCATCCAGGGACATGGTGGAATCACGTTAAATCAATAGCAATTCCCTGTATATTTTTCTTGGTGTTTATATTAGGTTGAGTCAAGGTTCCACTGTCCAGGCATTTGGTTCCGATGAAGAAAGTGGTATTGTCATCTCAAATGTTCTGTTTAAATGATACTCAATAGAAACTCCCCTTTTTTTCCTACCCTTTCCTGGGGGAAAATTTTCATCTTGTTCAAGCCGAATCTCCAGCCTGAGGAAATCTTCAAGAGGACAGTTTGAGTTCAGTGCCAGAAGCACCTACTGGGCCCCTTCCCCGAGCCAGACGGGAAGAAGGCCCTGGGAATTCGAAGAGGCTCAGGACATTGTATTAGTCTGCTCGGCTGCCATGAAGAGCACCACAGACTGAGGGGCTTAAACAACAGAAATCTATTTTCTCACAGTCCTGGAAATTAGAAGTTCAAGATCAAGGTGTGGGCAGAGTTGGTTTCTTCTGAGACCTTTCTCCTTGCCTTGTAGACGGCCATCTTCTAGCTGTGACTTCACATCTGTGTATGTCTGTGTCCTAATCTCCTCTTCGTATAAGGACACCAGTCATACTGGATCAGGGCCCCCCCCCCCCCCGTGACCTCATTTTACTTTACTCTCCTCTTTAAAGGCCCTGTCTCCAAATGCAGTCACATTCTGAGGTACCAGGGGTAGTGCTTCAACATATCGATGTGGGGGGGACAGTTCACCCCATAACAGACGCACACAGTCCCTGCCCTCGGTGAGCTCCTCTCCAGAGGCGAAGGCACACATGAGGACAGACGCTTGCACGAAAGGGCGGTCAGAGCTGGCGCAGCTGTGAGCAGCACGTGGAACACAGAGGCGGGGCAGAGAGAGGTCCAGGGAGGATTCTGGGGGGAAGAAGGGGGATGCTGAGTACCGAAGGATGAGCAAAGTTGCAGGTAGTCAGAGGGAAGAACCTGAGCAAGGGCCAGGAGAACCCAGCGTGAGGAGGTGCTCGCTCAACAGATATTGGGGAGCAGGTGTACACATGAGGAACAAGTGTCAGAACAGGCTGAATGGCCCCAGCACCCCAGGAACGTTCGTTTAATGACCACATCCTCAATAGAGTTAATTTTCTTACGATCTGCCTGAGAGCGTGGCCACAGGCCCTGTGGAATGGGGGGATGGCGCTGGATTTGGAGACGGACGAAGCCAGCTCTCCTTGAATCTCTATTCTTCCCCATGGCATCGGCCTAGTGGCTCCTCATAGGGCTCCTGGGAGGATTGGTGATATTGGGTGTGAACACTTGGCCAAGGGCAAAGCAGTGTAGATGTGTACTGTGCAAGAATGGAGGAGTGTGCTCTGGGTAATGGGGAGCCCCGGACAGCTGCCCTCTGGTTCACGGAGCCATACCACATCACCATTCTTCATGGAGGGACAGAACTCGAGCACTGGCACGGGCCTCAGCAATCATCCCATGACGTCAACCTGGCCGCAGACCTCTCCTTTCACTGCTGAGGATGCTCGTTCCCCAGAGTGGGGCAAATCTTTCTACACAGATTGCTCACTTCGGCATTTATTCAGAAAAGGTTGAGAGCATTTGGGTCAAGAAATAGCACATTATCTGGGAACAAGGTGATTTGAAGAGAAATAATGACTATTCATCGTACGCTTGCCATGTGCTGGGAGCTGTCCTGGGTTCCATGGTTCTATGTGTTTTTCGTGTATAAACTCATCAAATATTCTCAACGAGTCTGTGAGGTGGAGGTGCTATTATTATGCCCATTTTACAGATGAGGACATTGTGCCCAGAGAGGCTGAATAACTTGCCCAAGAGCTCACAGATTGTAATGTTACCGAGCTCTAAGGGACTGGTGACCCACAAGTGGGTCCTTTTTCCCAGAGCCACTTGTGCCAATAGAACGAGACCGGGTTTGGAATAGCAGAGCAGAAACATTGTCCATTGATCAATGAATGGAGGAGGCAGAGCTCGTGCTCTAAAACACCTTCTCCCGGAAGGGGAGGTGAGCAGGTTCTTAGGGATGTGAAGGGGGAGGGGTCTCCACGTCTTCACTCGGAGCGGGGACATTTGTGGCATGCACATATCTTCCCTTCTTGCACATGGCACCTTTTGCACATGGCACCCCATCGCCATCTTGGACCTTTCTGGTTTGGACCAGGTCTGCCGTTTGGCCATCTGACATTGTTCTCCCTTGGTTCCTATAAGCAAGCACAACTTAAAGCATTAGACATGGAAAATGTTTTAGGGACTTCCCTGGGTGACAGTAAGTGGCTGAGCAGAGACTCAAATCCAGGCAGTGTGGCGCCGGTATCTGGGTTTTAAAGCACTGAGCTGTGGCAAAGTGAAAAGACAGTTCCCATCACCTTCACCAAGGCTTTCCAAAAAGTGGAGCTGTTTATTTTGTCACCTTGGGAAGCCCTGGGGATGCCACTGGGAATGTGAGCTCACTAATCTGCCTGAAAGAAGAAAGTGCAGTTAACCCCATGGCCAGGCTTTCTGCATGGCCAGAGCGCTGGCCTGGAACTTGAGCCGGGACACCTGGGTGCTAGTCTCAGGTGAGGGACTGTAGGCTAGCGGCTGCTCACACCTGGGCCAGTTTGTTGGCAGGCTGGGGAGAGGATTTACGGACAGCCAGCTCCACCAATAAGAGGAACTCTTCAGGCCAAGCTCCGCCTCCAGGCTGCAGGATGAAGAGGGAGAGTGACCTGCAAGTTTCCCTGGTTCTGCTGACTTGTGTCCAGTCCCGGGTTCTGGGAGAGCCCCTGGGGCCGGGCAGGGCCGGGGCAGCCCCTCTGGCTTCTGCCCTCAGAGCTCAAATTCAGCAGGACTTTGAGTCAGGGAAGTTGAGGCAGGAGAGGTGGGCAGGGACAGCTCTGCCGGGCCTCGAGTCCACACGCGGGGTACGCTGCCGGGCCTCGGGCCCACACGCGGGGTACGCTGCCGGGCCTCGGGCCAGTGTGGCCTGTAGACACGCTGAGGTGGCCGGCAGGGCCTGTAATGCTTTTTGACTTGGGAAGCCCTCACAGCCCAGGGACCCCCAGACACCAGGGACCTAGCACCCGCCCTCCCACTTTACACCCAGCTGCAGATGCTTATTTGTGTGCACTGCCTGGGTCCTGGTGCCTTTTGAGATGAAGAATATAAAGTCCCCATCAGGAGGGGGCAGGGTGTCCTCAGTGCACAGGGAGGCAGCTGTCTCTTCCCCTTCCTGCCCCTCCCACACTTTAGGCCCCAGCCACGCTCAATTATTTGGTTCCCCACATACCCCAGGGCGTCCATGCCTGCAGGCCCTGGCTCAGTGGCCTCCCATCCTACGCCCGTCTCTGCCTGCCTGTTCCCTGGGTTTACTCACCTGGTAGGAATCTGCTCAGGAATCACCTCTTCCGGAAAGTCTTCCGTGATCCAGCCTCAGGTTGGCTCGGTGCCTCCTCCGTGTTTTCCCGGGGAAGCCTCAGGTTGCATGTCAGGCTGTAATCGAGAGCGTCCATGTTAGGGTCCTGCTCTGGACCACAGCTCCGTGAGGGAAAGCCAGCCAATCGCTCACTGGCTGAAAATCAATTCTCGGAATAGCCAATTCTCCGAGCGGTATCCCTGCATGATTAATATGCAAAATGGTTATTGCACTGAATGATTCGTGTGCTCAATAAGTAACTAGCCTCATTATTGAGGGTCAGCTTTTCCTTTTGGAAGTTTTGGTTCCCCGTTGAGCAGCTGTTTTTCCCTGTTGTGCATCTTGGGCTGGATGTTTGAATGTGCGCTGACATTCCACGCTCCCAGCACTTCTGCGATACTCCACATCTTTTTTTTTTTTTTTTGTGAGGAAGATCGGCCCTGAGCTAACATCCATGCCAATCCTCCTGTTTTTTTTGCTGAGGAAGATTGGCTCTGAGCTAACATCTATTGCCAATCCTCCTCCTTTTTTTTCCCCCCAAAGCCCCAGTAGATAGTTGTATGTCATAGCTGCACATCCTTCTAGTTGCTGTATGTGGGACGCGGCCTCAGCATGGCCGGAGAAGCGGTATGTCGGTGCGCGCCCGGGATCCGAACCCGGGCCGCCGGTAGCGGAGCGCGCGCACTTAACCACTAAGCCACGGGGCCGGCCCTCCACATGTTTTATTTCAATGTGTGCTTTCCATTAAACCCAGTCTGCTGGCTTCTCGTCTCTTGTTTGTGGACTGGAGGCCTGGTCTGGCCTTCTAGGGGCTCTGCATTCCCCAAACTCGCCTTTGCCCCGCCGGCCTCTGCACCTGCTCTCGGCTTCTGGAGTAAAAGGCGAGGCAACCCGTCCTAGACATGAGTTAAGGTGCTCCTCTGACATCTGGGGCAGATCGGCCATGCAGCGAATTAATTCTCGTGACGTGCTAGTGGGCATGGGGGGTCTTGCCTCCCTGATGCCTTCCTTGAGCCAGCCCGGGGCAGGCACGTGGGACGCGCTCCCTCAGCCAATGCTGAAAGAGCGGGACAGGGGAATGACTGAGTGTCAGATTCTTTTTCTTCCAAATCCGCAGCCTTCCCATTTGTTCTAGAGCTTCAGGGCAGCCCATGTCCATCTCCAACAGGCTGCTCGGGCCACGTGTTTTCTATTTCAGTCTCAAGATATCTCTGCAGGACACTCAGGGCAGGACCAAGCTCCCAGTTTGCACTTGTAACCGTAGTAGCTCAGAGAAGCAAAGTGACTTGCCTAAGGACACACAGTTGAAAAGCAGTGGACTCAGGGTTGGAACGCTGCCAGGCTTCTTCTGCAAAGTCCGTGACCTTTGGCTCCGTCCTGGTCCTTAGGGAGACTTGCCCTGGGTTCCGGCCAGTCGCTCCACTCCCTGCACGGCGGCTTTGTTAAGAGGGAAATTAAAAAGATGCCAAATGAAAAATCCACAGCCCAGCTGGTGATTCCCGAGAAGACAAGTTTCCCTTTAAGACTCCAGTTGCTGTTACGACCTGGAAACAGGGCAAAGAAAGCAAAACAGAAAACACTGCCCAACTTCCCATTCAGACGAGAGAAAACTGCCACATTTCCTGTTGGGATCCTCCCGCCCTCAGGGAGATGCTCTGGAGGAGTCTGGCCTGGAGGCCCTGCGGGGGCCTGGCCACCAGCCGGGAAGGCCAGCGGGGCAGTCGTCAGGAAAGAGAGCATGGATTCCCAGCAACCAAGCGTGGCTCCCCTCACATGTGGCCCGAGCCACCCGGGGCCTCCCGAGGGTGCCCGCCTGACGAGCGGGACGCCGGGTGGGAGCAGAAGAAAGGTAAATATAGTCACCAGCCTCTGTACCTGAAAAGCTGCGGCTTTGGTCAGGGAGGGCTGTGGGTGACTCCTGGCGTCCTGGTCCCTGTGACCTGGGCTGAGGTGCTCCACCTCTCAAGCCGCAGTTTCCTGGGGCCGACAGCATATTCTGGCAGCATGGCTGTGCTCATGTACTGAGGCCACAGCAGAGAACTGCCTCGCACATGCTGGGCAGTGTCCCCTTCCTCCCTGCCTGCCCCCACCAGCGGGCACCCTCTTCTCCTGGGGCTGGAGGTGAGAGGTGGTGGGCACAGGCAGGGGCAGGGGGCTCCAGGGAGAAGGCTCCCACCTGCTCTTCTCTGCCCCCCGGGGGGCAGAGACCCAGAGGTGAGTTTGAGGACAAAAGGCGATGGAGAACGGGCGTTCTGTCCAAAATGTGATTCTGTTCCTGTGAATGAATCCCATTCAGTTCAAGCTCCTCTTAGTGCAGAAAAATATTCTGGCCTCACACCTGGTAATGTCCATCCCTGTGGCCTATAAATCCTCCCTCTCACCTCATCCGATCACCAGCATCTACCCAGCACCTCCTATGCAGCAGGCTCACTGCCTGCAAGGAAGAGTCCCGCCCTCAAAACTACCACCCACTTTCCCAGCCTCTGCTGCTGACTCTCAGGGGCACCTACCGCAGGACAGGTGAGGACCTTACCTGCTTTAACTCCTTTCTTCTGCATAATATGCTACAAGGTGGGGTCTATTATCATCCCCATTTTACAGATGAGGGCACTGAGTCACAGGGCAGCTGTGTAACTGGCCCCAGGTTACACAGTTGTAAGGGGCAGAGCTGGAGGTCAGACGGAATTGAATCAAAGGGATAAACGTAAAAATGAGGAGGTGCCTTTATGGAGACTTTCAGAGGAGGAGGTGCTGGCTATGGGTCTTAGGTAACGAAAATCTCTAGAAGGCAGGATTTCAGGTAGATGTAGCCACACGGGCCATGTCAGGAGAGATCTTGGCACATAACTTGGGCAAGAGCCATTCTGTATGGCGGGGCAGAGGGAGTGGAGAGAGAAAATAAAAAGAGTAAGCAGGCTTTCTGAACATTCCCTATGGGCACACAAGTCTCTGAACGTCCTCATCCAGTGACATACCGACTGCTCGACAACCTATGCAGCCGGTGCTGTTATTTAGATCCTATTTCACAGCTGCATGAGCTGAGACCCAGAATGTCAAGACACTGTCAGGCTCCCACAGCTGCGTGGTGGAGCCGTCTGGCATGGAGCCCGTGCTAGAGGAGGCTACCGAGCTGGGTAGAGCAGGGGTTGGCTGTTGGGTCCCGCTACCCCTCCCTGAGCTGTGGACCTCATCTGTCCTGTGGACCTCATCTGTCCTGTTTACTGCTGTACCCTCAGAGCTCTGTTAGGGCCTGGTACCTAGAACACGCACACACACACACACACACACACACATGCATTAAATGATGGCAGAGAAAGAAAGCGCCTTCCAAGAGCACTGGGTCCCCTCTATCTGGAGACTGGCCCACATGTCCCTGGCCAGCCTAGGATGGCAGCCCTTCCTGCCTCCAGCTCCTGCCAGCTGGTCAGCCTTTGCCAAGGGGCCCAGTGTTTCTGCTCCTGGTCCAGTTGTGGCTGTGGCCATCCTTGGATGGAGCCGTGGGGCAGGATTACATGGAGGTAAATGCCTTGTTCTCCGGGCCAAGTCCTATATCTCTCTGCCTGTAGGTCCTTGCCCAGAGGTGCTCATACTGGCCTGTAGATTGACACCTTAGCTGAGAACAGGGCCTTCATGGGTGTGTGTGAGCCTCTCTGTGTGTATGTGTGTGTGTGTGTATCTATCAGCAGCCTCAGACCCCTTCAGCAGCCTCAGGACACTGCTTCCAGGTGAAGAGGCAGTGTGGTGCAGTGGTGATTACCCAAGCGCTGGAGCCAGCCCACCTGGGCTCCGGCCCCTATCCGAGACAGCACCAGGGACAGCTCTGTGCCTCTGTTTCCTCACCTGTAAAATCGGGATAAAATAGTACTGATATGATGATTCCATGAGGTAACACTCAGAAAGTGCTTAGAACAATGCCTGGCCTGTAGCTCTTAATAAATGTCAGCTGCTACTGCTGGCAATGTAGTCGAGCTTTGCTTTTTGCTCCTATGTGGGTCCGAAACTGGGCACACTCAGCTATAATGAGAGTGTGCAGCAGCTTACAGAGCACCTGCTAAGGACGTCAAGTCTGCGTTTCACGGATCCGCGCACAGCCGGGCGACGAGGCCAGTGGTGAGGCTGCCGACGGAGGCACACTGACCTCCGCGGGCTGTCACCACTCGCCCGGGGCGCACGCCTGCGCAGGCGGACCGGGAAGGGAACCCCGTCCGCTGGCTGGCTCGAGAAACCTCCATCCTTGCCCTGGGAATTCCTGGGACGGCCTCCCCAGCCAAGGGGACGGTCCAGATGCGTGCTGCGGGGCCCTGGCTCTGCGCCTGAGTGCCGAGTCTGATGCGCTGTCCTCTCCTTTCCCAGGACTGGTCCTGCTCGCTCCTCGTGGCCTCTCTCGTGGGCGCCTTTGGCTCCTCCTTCCTCTACGGGTACAACCTCTCGGTGGTGAACGCCCCCACTCCGGTGAGTGCCCCGCGGCCGCCGGATGCGCCCGGCAGAGGGCGCGGTGGCGACGCGGAAAACTTCAGGTGCTACCGTCTGGCCCGAGATGGTACCCGATTCTGCACCTTCGCAGGCCGCTTCTGGGCCAGACCTTTGCTGGACACGGGAGAGAGGCGGGACAGAAAGAATGAGACCAGCCCACACCCTCGAGGTGGGGGGTGGTGGGAGATACAGAAACAGACGGTGATGGCAATGTGGGGGGTCACTTCCTTATGGCTGGAGTGTGGGAGTCCTGGGACAGTGTAGGCAGAGGAGGTCCCAGGGGCCTATCCTGACGGTCTTATTCTAGGCCAAGGAGCACGGAGTCTGAGGAGCCACTGAGGGACCTGATGCATGGAAACGTTTTCTTGATTTGTTCTTTCTGTACTTAGGGATTTTAATTACGGCTAAAGGTCACTTGGTTAAGATCCATTGTTGGCTTTGGTCTGGAATCGGGTCATTAGGTGCAATTCCCCAGGCCTTGCTAACATCGCTCTGCTGGTTTGCAGAGGAAGGTTTGGTTCGCGTGTACCTAGGCCCTTAGGTTTAGGTGTTACCCATTGCTGGGGCTGCTGCTTCTGCCTGACCTACCTCCGCCCGTGGGGTAGGGTGGATGGGGCGTGTGAGGGAAGAGTTCCTGGAGGAGGTGATTCTGCGTCGTCAGCACGGAGGCCTGAGTTGTGAAACCTTTGCAGGAATGCAGGTATGATGTGGCTGGGGCACAGGACGTGTTTTGGGGAGCATAGGGCAGGAGCTAAAAAGTCGACAGAAGCCAGGCTGTGGACCTTCCTGGATGCTTTTCAGGCGTTTCCTGGTGTGGGGGCCCAGCATCCCTGTGTGCAAAACGCAGGGGAGGCTGGACCTGTGGGTCTCAAAGGTCCCCAGGAGCCCTGGGATTTTCAGAGGTGCCTCAGGGTCCAGACTCTATTTGTGCCAGGACAGCCCTGTTATTTTACTCTGTTAACTCTTCTATGTTTTGGAGTTCTGTGTAAGTTCATCTGAAAAATTGATTCTGATGCTAAAAACAGTTTGAAAACCGGGGGGCATAGGTGGCTTCTCTGAACTCGTGCAGCAACCAACGGCTTTGATTTTGTCATTGTCATATCATCCTGAGATGGGGTCTGATTTGTCCACACTTGTCTTTAAAGGAGGATTGGACATTTGGACTTCTGCTTCATCTGGAAAGTTCTGCAGAACCTCCAGCAGAGGGTGGAGAACCTATGACTTGTGGAGCAAAGAGACATGAAAAACTTGAACCTGGGATAGAATGAAATGGGTGGAAAAGTAATAGTCAAGCAGTGACTGTGGGAACACGAGGAAGGAGCAATTCTGTCATTCATTCATTCAAAGAATGTTTTTAAATTAATAAACTTTAGTTTTTTAGAGCAGTTCACGGCAAAACTGAGCAGAAAGTACAGAAAATGCCCATATACCCCTTGCCCTCACACATGCACAGCCTCCCCCACTATCAACATCCTGCACCAGAGTGGTATTCTTGTGGTAATCATGAACCTACCTTGGGACACTGTTATCACCCAAAGTCCACAGCTAACATCAAGGTTCACTCTGGTGTTGTGTGTTCTGTGAGTTTTCACAAATGTATAAAGACATGTATCCACCACTGTAGTATCTTCCAAATTAGTTTCACTGCCCTAGAAATCCTCTGCTCTGCCTATTCATCCCTCCCTGCCCACAACCCCTGGAAACCACCGATCTCTTTATTGTCTCCATAGTTTTGCCTTTTCCAGAATGTCACATAGTTGGAATCATGTAATATGTGGCCTTTTCAGATTGGCTTCTTTCACTTAGTAGTATACATTTAAGGTTCCTCCAGGTCTTTTTTTTTTTTTAAAGATTTTATTTATTTTATTTTTTTCCCCCCAAAGCCCCAGTAGATAGTTGTATGTCATAGCTGCACATCCCTCTAGTTGCTGTATGTGGGACTCGGCCTCAGCATGGCCGGAGAAGCGGTGCGTCGGTGCACGCCCGGGATCCGAACCCGGGCCGCCAGCAGTGGAACGCGCGCACTTAACTGCTAAGCCACGGGGCCGACCCCCTCCAGGTCTTTTCATGGCTTGAAAGCTCATTTCTTTTTAGCACTGAATAATATTCCATTGTCTGGATGTGCCGCAGTTTACTTAGCCACTCACCTACTGAAGGAAGGACATCATGAGTGCATCTACATTTTGGCAATTATGAATAAAGTTTCTGTAAACATCCATGTGCAGGTTTTTGTGTGGACGTAAGTTTTCAATTCATTTGGGTGAATACCAAGGAGCACGATTGCTGTGTCATATGGGAAGAAGATTTAGTTTTGTAAGAAACTGTCTTCCTAAGTGGCTGTACCAGAGTTCTTGTCGCTCCACATCCTCACCAACAGTTGATGTTGTCAGCGTTTTGGATTTTGGACATTCTAATAGGTGTGTAGTGATATCTCAATGTCATTTTAATTTGCCTTTCCCTGTAGACACATGATGTTGAATATCTTTTCATATGCTTCCTTACCATCTATAGATCTTCTGTGATGAGGTGTCTGTTAGGTCTTTTACCCATTTTTTAATCAGATTGTTCATGTTCTTATTGTTGAGTTTTAAAAGTTCTTTGTATATTTCGGATAACAGTCCTTTATGAGATGTGTCTTTTGCAAATATTTTCTCCCAGTCTGTGGCTTGTCTTCTCATTCTCTTGACATTGTCTTTCACAGGGCAAAAGTTTTTAATTTTAATGAAGTCCAGCTTATCAATTATTTCTTTTATAGATCATGCCTTTAGTATTATATCTAAAAAGATACCCAAGGCCATCTAGATTTTCTCCTGTGTTATCTTTTAGGATTTTTATTTTGTTTTGCATTTATGTCTGTGATCCATTTTGAGTTAATTTTTGTGAAGGGTGTAAGATCTGAGTCTGGATTCTCTCTTGCACTCTCTTTTTTTTGCATGCGGATGTCTATTGTTCCAGCACCATTTGTTTAAAAGACCGTCTTTGCTCCATTGCGTTGCCTTGGCACTTTTGGTAACGATCAGTTGACTGTATCTATGGGGGTCTATTTCTGGGCTCTCTCTTCTGTTCTATTGATCTAGTCATCTGTCCTTTCACGAGCACCACACTGTCTTGATTACTGGAGCTTTGTGGTAAGTTTTGAAGTAGACTTGGGGTCCTGTCGCCCTGTTTCGTGCTCGGCCTAAAGGTGTGTCACAGGCCCTAATATTTTGTATTTGACTCATGTTGCTACTAGAAACAGAGAGGGGTAAACAGTCAGCAAACCCTCAGCGGCCTGCGCTGTGCATTCCCCTTGCTTGTGTCGTGTGGTTAGGTGCTGGGGTGGGAAGTTGAACAACGTGTCCCTGTCCTCAAGGTGCCCCCAGACCAGCAGCAATGACAGACGCCCAAGACATGTTGTGCAGAGATGTAAACACAGGCCTGTGGAAGGACTTTATTTCACTGGGAAGGCCAGGGGCCCTGACTGGGGCTTGAGAGAGAGCAAGGGGCTTTCTGGGAGCAGTGAAGAGATGGGGTGTCTGGAGTGTGGAGTCCAAAGTGTGGAGCAGCAGGAGGCTGAGCAAGGGATCCAGGGCCAGCTCAAGGAGGGTCTTGGGGGTCAGAACAGGAGTGTGAGCCAGCACCACCCATCCTGTGAGCACTGGAGGAGGGCCGAGGGCCAAGGCTCAGCCCGGGGAGCCCTCCCAGGGTGGAAACTGCCTCAGCCCCACGACACAGGCGCCTCTGCAGATGGGTAGTGACAAGCCCTTCGTGAAGTGGCCGTGAGAAATAAAGGAGGCCTGATGTTGGAGGAACTCAGCCCCGTGTCCAGCCAGCACTCAGAATTCTCTTCTCCTTGTAGTAGGCACGGATGGGTGAGCGAGGCAGCCCCAGGGTGCAGGAGACTGGGAAGAGATGGCAGACAGAGGCTGCCACCAGGGGGTGCTGATGAAAATAAGTCACAGGTGGACACCGACCCATGGGAAGGGACGCTGGTTTAGCAGTGACACAGGGCCCTCTTGAGTGGTGGGATCATTGGGGTCCAGGTGGTGGGGGGAGCACAGAGGGACTGTAGACTGTGGCTGCTTACCATTTGGTGAGCCGGAACTTCACGCAGCGGCTGATATTAGCCCTGGCTGCCACCTAGCCACAACCTCACAACGGTGCTTCTCTCTCCTCAGATATTTGGAAAAATTTCTGGAATGCCGATAGTGAAAGTAACTCCCACCTATAGGCATAGACTGTGCTTGCCCATGTCTGGGATAGTTTGTAGGGCATCAGATTTAATCCTCGTTATAATCCTGCAAGGGAGCCGTAACTAACCCCCTTTCATAGATGAGGAAACTGAGACCCCGGGAGGTTAATGTGTCCAAGTTCCTGGGGTGGGATGGGGGGCCCTTTAGCACCCACTCCTTAAATTTCCACTGGTTTCTCCTCAACACAGTCGCCCTAAATGAGTGTACATCCTATCCACCCTGCTTTCAAAGACCGCCTGGAATCTGACCATGTATCATGCCCCATTTGGAGGAGAACACCCATGGGTCTCGTGCGTCTCCACAGGGTCCTCAACCAACTTTGGCTGATGGGATGTGAGCTGAAGTAATTATAAGCCACTTGAGGCCTGGCCCTTGAAGACATTCCGGAAGGTTCTTCAGGTCTTTATTCCCCCAGATGGCATAAGTACAAGATGGCAGAGAACTGTCTGACATGCACTAGGCGTTGCATGAGCTGGAAAGAAATCTTTATTGTCTTTTTTTTTTAATTAATTAATTAATTAATTTTAGTGTGTGTGTGTGTGTGAGGAAGATCAACCCTGAGGTAACATCCATGCCAATCCTCCTCTTTTTGCTGAGGAAGACTGGCCCTAGGCTAACATCCGTGCCCATCTTCCTCCACTTTATATGGGACGCCGCCACAGCATGGCCGCCAGCAGTGTAGAGCGTGCACTTAACCGCTACGCCACAGGGCCAGCCCCTCTTTATTGTCTTTAACCATTGAAACTT